CATATGAGAAGCTGTAATAAAGATGGGGAAAAAGTTACCAATACCACCTCTAACCCTCCCCGAGGTGTCACATTTTTGTAGCCTGTTAAGAGTTTGAAATTGTGACACAGGCGTGCGTTATTGGAAATTTTAATATTACAAATATGTATATATAACATCTGTACACATATAATGTATGTATGTAGATTGTAACGTTGGTGTACTATGGCTGAAAGTAAAACAAAGAACAAAGAACCAAAAGAACCCAGACACTGTACTGTTAGCATGGCATGGCTATTATCCATCTTGAAGGAAGTGCTTAGATGCTTACAACAACAGAACTGAAGTTAGAAACACAGATTTTTAAGAATATAGCATGGGGGCCTGGGTGGCTCAGTCAGTTAAGCATCTGCTTTTGGCTCAAGTCATGATCCCCGGGTCCCAGGATCGAGCCTGCATCAGGCTCCTTGCTCAGCAGGGAGTCTGCTTCTCCCTCTGCCCCTCCCCCTCTCGTGCTCTCTCTCTCTCTCTCTCTCTCTCTCTCTCTCTCCCACTCTCAAATAAATAAATAACAGGGGCGCCTGGGTGGCTCAGTTGGTTGAGCGACTGCCTTCGGCTCAGGTCATGGTCCTGGAGTCCCGGGATCAAGTCCCGCGTCGGGCTCCCTGCTCGGCGGGGGGTCTGCTTCTCCCTCTGACCCTCCCTCTCATGCTCTCTGTCTCTCGTTCTCTCTCTCTCAAATAAATAAATAAAATCTTTAAAAAAAAAATAAAAAATAAAATAAATAAATAAATAACATCTTAAAAAAAAAAAAAGAATACGGCAGTGTCTGGGAAGTGTGTGTCCAAGAGCCCCGAGGATTTGGTTGCGGCACAGCTGCTGACTATTTTATTTTATTTTTTGATCCCCTAGAGCCTTGAGCTTCCAGAACAAAGAGGGTGTCTCTGAATCACACAGACCATTCCTCAGACAGACACAGCCTGTAGCAGCACCAGCTGCCCAAGGGCTGGCCAGCTTTCCTAAGGTACTCTGGGGACCTGCTCTGTGCAGAGAAAGCATCTGAAGTACAGGGACCTGAGAACATGTCAGGAGTCCAAAGCAGCCGAGAGTAATGATGGGGAGCTTTAAAAGATTTTCATTCTTAAAGAAATGGAGAATTCCTATGTGACATTTTCATAGTGTTAAATATAATCACTAATTCCTTTCTCCAAACAGGACACTATTTTTTACAGAGCCCATTGGGAATTTACAGACTCATCAGCAGAACTGAGCCTGGAGGTTTAGACCCAGCTCCAGCTGCTAAAAGAAGTTCAACAGCCACCGTCCTCATGTAAGCCAGAATGCTGTGAGTCTCCTTGTTGCACACTAACAGGACCTCACTGGTTTTAGATTGTGAAGATATCATGATGGTGGTAAAGAGCAAGAGGGGAAGGGTGCAGAGAAATTTTCAGTCTGTTCTTTGCCCTCAAATGATCAGTACCTGGTGATTTTCATCACTTGGAGGCTCACAGGTACTTTTGGTGCTGCTCTAACGCAACTTCCAGAGAAAAGGAAGATGCTGCCTGGGTCCCAGCAGGGGCATGTCACAAGGTCCGGGGGGTCTTCCTTCCAGAGAGTGACACAGCAGAGAGGTGGAGAGTTATTTGATGTACATTTGGGTGTACATCACGTGACCATAGTGAATGGGAACACTTCATTTCTGGGGGTGTCAGCTATGCCCCAAATTGTTTTGATACTTTTATGCTCTGATCATTATAACAGAATGACAAATATGGGGATGTTTCTGGGTTGACTCAGATCTGTTGTCAACGCCCTGTAATTTATAAGAATAAACACCAGGGGCTCAGTCGGTGAAGCGTCCAACTCTTGGTTTTGGCTCACTTTGTGATCTCAGGGTGGTGAGATCTGGCCCCACATCAAGCCCCATGTTGGGGTCTGCACTCAGTGTGGTGTCTGTTTGAGATTCTCTCTCTCTCTCCTTTTGCCCCTCCCGCTCATGCTCTCTAAATAAATAAATAAATATTTTTAAAAAATTTTTTTTAAAAAGAATAAACATCAATGTGATCGTAAACATATTCTTCTAGCAGCTGTCCATCATTACAGCGTAAGGAGTGACTTAACCTGCTCCCCTCCCTGGGCTCTTTCAGAAAGGCACATTGAAAGACAATACCCCACAGATTGGCTTTCAAGAAAAGACACGGAGAGGTCAGTGCCACTGATGTGTTTCCTCAAAGAAATATGAATGTGAGGCTTTGCTATGGGATCATGGAAGGTTGTTTTGAAGGGTAAGTATCTATCTGTTTTAGACCCTCAAAATACTTAGAATGTACACAAGAACTCAGGCTACATGTTTCATATTAAATTAGGCAGCACACGTGTTCAAAATCAAGGGAGAACTTGGGGACCGATTTTAATAATACTTAAACAAATTTATCACTGCTGATTTTCAAGACTACTTATGACCCACAACTCAAGGCTTAGGGTCAGTACATTACTGCGCATGGCCGCTCGGTGAGAAAGCCTCTGAGCTCGGGGCTTCCCAAGAATATGAGACAAGTCCCCCATTCTAAGAAGATGTTTCAGAAGCAGAAAGATACAGGTCCACGATAGCTATGAAATAGTAGAGCTCAAGCAGACGGTGTCAGCTGACAGAGCAGAATTTTTGCAGTGAAATGAAGAGAATAAATCATTTGATCCATGGACAGAGTTATGGCATCTCTGTAAGAACACACAGCTTCGGAAGAGGGCTGGTATTCTGTGTTGTAAAGACAACTCTGACAACTCGCATGTATCTTTTCAAATACAGATGCAGTGAGCACGACCCTCTCGGGAGGCACATTGTCATCTCTCTTTTCCACCTGGCTTCTGTGTGTGCCACAGAGCCATTTCCACTGTTAGGACATACACACCGAGGGGTGCCTGGGTGGCTCAGTCAGTTAAGCGGCTGCCTTCAGCTCAGGTCATGATCCCGGGGTCCTGGGATCGAGCCCCGCATCGGGCTCCCTGCTCAGCGGGAAGCCTGCTTCTCCCTCTCCCACTTCCCCTGCTTGTGTTCCCTCTCTCGCTGTCTCTCTCTGACAAATAAATAAATAAAATCTTAAAAAAAAAAAAAGATATACACACCGACTCTGAGACCCCTGGATGGCCACCTCTGGCGGAAGCATCATTCCATGATGATCAAGCGCTGAGGTTTGTGCGCTCCAGTAGGACATTCCGATGTGTCCCTCTGCTGCTGTGGGGGCTGCGATCACAGGAGCCCGGGTGGCCTGTGAATATAATGGATATTCTCTTGCATGCCTGCCTCACCGGCTTCAGGGGTGAGCACAGTGCTGTGGTTGGAGGAACCTGTGGGATGACTTACACCAGGACGGTGGTCAATAATTACATTCTCTAGCGGGGTTCCCTTCAGCATGGGCCTTCAGGAGCAGCATGACTTCTGGAGCCCGAGGGTTCCTCTTTGGGGAGTGAGGTCGGGAGGTTGAATGAATGCTACCTGTGGACACCACAGTTCGAAGCCTGGAGAGATCGTGTCCATTCCAACAGCACTGATTTGTATTACTTGTAGGAAGAAGGTGAAATACACACGGGGATTAATTATGATCATTGTGCAGATACTGAAAAACAGTTTGATCTGAAAAAGGTGAAACTGTATTCACTCTCATGGATATGCTTTCCTGCCCTGCTCTTGGGGAAGGGTGGAAGGCTAACAGGTGTGCTCTACCCCTCTATGTATATAAAGCCATAGAAGGTTCTTGGTGTACTGTAGGATACTGTCAGAGAAAATGCAGTGCTGGGAGGGACAGATAAAGCTCCTGAAATTTGTGAAGTTTGGCATTTTAAAGGCATTCCCACCGAGCTTTGTGATGATTGCGTGCACCACCTCTGCCAGTGAGATTATCAGCCGGTAGATACAACATGTTGAGGACTGTCACTTTAGAGAGTATTTGCGTTGAACCCCCAGCATATTAATAAGATTGCTGCTGGAGGGGCAGATTTGAACCATAGTCCCAGCCCTCCAATATCACTTGAGTGAGAAGCCTGGGAGCTCGCCACAATCAGTTTTCACCTCCTTAGGAGATGTCCTCTTGAAAATTCAGAGGTGTCCGAAGGATGCTAAACCCCCCACACAGACGAGAGCAAACATCGTCAGTGCCTGCTGTCCTGGGGCGTAATTCCAGAGCAGGCATCTTTGGCAGGTGTGGCCCTGAGATCTTTGGCATCTTAGAGGAGGACCTGTCTCCAGGTAATAACTCAGAAGAACACAGTAGGGAATTGCCGCCTGGGCATCACACTCCAAGATGATTTCCGCAGGCCCCGAGTTTTACAGCTCGAAGACATGACAGTGCTCGAAACGGTGGCATCACGCAGGGCCCCAGGAAGAGCAGCGAAGTTGATTTTGACAGGTAAAAGGACCCCAGGTTTAATTATTGCCAAAGAGGAAAACGAACCCTCGAGTTTGCTGTGCAGCATGAGGCCATCATCTGCGCTGACGACTGTGTGGGATGAGGGAAAAAAGTGGAAAAGAAATGGCAAAGTGGCCCCATGTGTGTGATCACTGATGACTTCAAAGCCTGTCTTTGTGGCTGCTAAGTCCTTTGATAGGCAGTGATACACTAGCTAGGCCCTTTAAATCTGGGAAAAGCTCTGTGTGTGTGAGAGAAAACCACTGGAACGGAGAGTCAAGGTGTTATCAGAAGTTTCTTAGAACTTGCTTGGAGGTGGCTGTCTTCAGACAGTGAGTGGCCCACTCTTTCCCACCCATCGGATCTATGGAGGCCTTCCCTTAAAGTTAAAGGAAGAGAGGCAGGGCCTCTGGGAGCAGGTTGGTAGGACAATAGTGAAGGTCAAAAAAGGTCTCACCAAATATGTCATGCTAGCTATCGTCATGGTCCTTAAACTTACTCCAAATGTATTCTGACCAGGGCAAGAAAAATTACACTGTCAATGTAATCATAAGATACATAGTTCTGTCATCTGCCTAAGATGAATTACAGATACCTAAAGAAGCCAGATAGATGTACTCCATCCATATGTGTTTCCTTCTGGAAGCTTCCACGGTGCTGCCTAGTTGTCTCTGCAGAGGCCTCTGGGTGAAGTAGATGCAACTGAGTCTCCTCGACATATGTATTACTTAACAAAGTCCCACTGAAAGCAGGTGTCTGCACCCACTTGGCTGCTTCTGAGCATCTCAAGGAAGTGCTCGCTCGGGAAAGATGCACGGAGGGTAATCCTGCAGCAATCTGTGGCCACACACGTCCACACTTGCAGCCTTGCCCATGTCCAGTGGCATGCTATGAGATCCAAACCTATGGAAGTTTACTGACGTGGGCTTCCCCCAAACAAAGCAAAACCACAAATAATCCAGTTCCCATCATCTTGGGGATTGCCCTGGATACCCTGAAGGAGAAAATACTTCTATCAACCCAAACCAGATCTGCACTTTATTTTTTTAAAGATTTCATTTATTTATTTGATAGAGAGAGCAAAGCAGGGGGAGGAGCAGACACAGAGGGAGAAGCAGACTCCCCGCTGAGCAGGAAGCCCCATGTGGGACTCGATCCCAGGACCCAGAGGCAGACACTTAACTGACTGAGCCACCCAGGCGCCCCCAAGATCAACATTTTAGACAAAGGCAGATGCTGACTAAAATTATAATAAATAAGATTCCTTCTATGTTAGCATGTTCTGTTATTTCTCTGGTTCTGAGAATTCTGACCAGTTGTGAGTGGACTATAACAAGAAGTTGTATCCAAACTGCCATCATATGGAACAAATGAAGAATATACCTCTACTTCCTCTTCAGAGGAAAACCTTGTGGTTATTTTTGCCTACTGTCTAGATATGCGCTGGTCCATGCCGTAACCCCTCAGCACATGGGGCCACTGGGTCCTTGAAATGTGGCTGGTCCAAAGTGACATGAGGTAGAAGTGCAAAATGCACATGAGATTTCAAAAATAAAGCTTTTTAAAAGTATAAAATACCCCACTAATGAATTTTTATATTTATTATATGCTCAACTACTATTTTTGGTGTATTTATTAATTAAACCATATCATTACACCCAATCGCCTGTTCCTTTTTGCTTTTTAAGAATTTTTTTCCTTCTTTTTGCTTTTAAAATATGACTCTCAGCAAACTTTAAATTCCATCTATTACTTGCATTTGTATCTCGTATTAAATTTTCCTGCACAGCACCAGTGAAGAAATTTCATCCTGCTCTGATAAAGCAGCCAGGGGAAACTCTCAAACCTTATCTGCTCTAGCAGCATGGTCAAAAAGAGGAGATGCTTCAGCTCGTCCTTCCCAGGCGCCAGAGGACCTCCTGCCCAGCTGGGCATGGTAGAAGAACCACGCCGGGACGGCATGCGCAGAAACATCAGACAATGTGAACTAAGGCTGCAGAGAAACCCCCGTGCTCCTGCTGAATTAGATGCAGCACCATAAGCAACGTGAGCAAAGTAAGCCGTGAGGTCGGGGGGTGGAGGGGGTTCTGGGAGTGCATCGGAGACGTTATTACTGACCTGGATTGCTTTGCCACGTAACCTGGCACAGACAGGCACCTGCCCAAGGTGCGGACATTTCCATCACGGCTTTATTATCCGACACATTCTATTGTTTATCCTGAGGAAACACGGAGGCATGGAGGAGATGTGCAGCTTCCCAAATATGCTCGTCTGATGAATCTGGAGAATTAAAAATGATTCTGATGTGGGAAGAAAAGCCTGACATTTTATCAGAGGAAGGAGAGAATTTTTATTCATCCTGGTTTTCTTTTTTTTAAAAAACAAAGTGAAATACACTTCTTAGTTTATTAACATGGGGGAATGCATGAGCTTGAGAAGAGGGTGAAAAATCACCCATATGGACACACAAACGAAATGCCACGAGTCAGTTTATGACTGATGGATTATAATCTCCTTTATTACCACGGTTGATGGAACTGCTCTCTGGAGATCTATATCTGTAGAGAGCGGAAGATTGGCAGTCATAGTCTACTCTTGCACCAAAACCACTTGTTTGATTTATAAATGAATAACCATCCTGCTATCTAGACAGAGGAAGATGGAATATATTTTTACATTTTGGATAAGAGATAATCCCTGCCAATGTTAGTATGAGAAATCAACATTTTTGGGGGCCCCTGGGTGGCTCAGTCATTAAGCGTCTGCCTTCCGCTCAGGTCATGGTCCCAGGGTCCTGGGATTGAGCCCCACATTGGGCTCCCTACTCGGCAGGAAGCTTGCTTCTCTCTCTCCCGCTCCCCCTGCTTGTGTTCCCTCTCTCTCTATGTCTCTGTCAAGTGAATAAATAAAATCTTTCAAAAAAATTTTTAAGAACAACTGTGATGTGGCCACATGTTACAGATTGTGAAATATTCCTATTCTGAAATGTTAATGGTATTTTACTTGAACACAGATTATGAAATCTTTTGGGAAGCTATTATTTAGGTAAGTGTCTAAAGAAGTGAAAAAAACAAATTCACCGGTTGTTTTATAGAAATGAGCTTGCAGGGGCCAAAATTTGCAATAATTTTAATATAAAAAACCAATTAATCATAACACATCAGGTAAAAAAAAATCCATAAACACTAATGACCCTCAGAAAAGGAGGGAAGGGTAAGATAAAACTCTCCTTACAGATACAAGTTAATGAATATGAAAGGAACAATGGAATTAGAATCAGTAGTTTCCAGCCTCCATTATAATAACTGGCTCAGGCAAGCATCAGCAACGGTTGTGAAAATTAATAGGTGAAATTTGGTTGGGGAACAGGATATTTGCATGGTGCCGAAGTATCAGCCCACAGATTCCTCGCTAACGTAAAGATGAAAACATGCCTTTGTAATGAAGGAATCTGCCCCCTTCATCAAATGATAAAGCTTACATCATCAATCATGGGATGCCATGACATCCCGGTCATGCAACATGAAAGTATAAAATATGAAGAATACAATAGAGTCTATGAAGTATTCTGGCCAAAAATATTTATATCCAATCAAGCTTAGAACTATACTCTCCAACACTCACCACATGTGGCTGATGAACAATTGAGATGAGGCTAATCTGAATTCAGATGTGCTGTAAATGTAAAATACTGGATTTTGAAGACTTTATATGAGATAAGAGTATAAACTATCTCATATTGGGGCACCTGGGTTGCTTAGTTGGTTAAGCATCTGCCTTCGGCTCAGGTCATGATCTCAGGGTCCTGGGATGGAGTTCTGCATTGGGGCTCCCTGCTCAGTGGGGAGTCTGCTTCTCCCTCTACCCTTCCCCCTGCTCACGATTGCTCTCTCTCTCACATAACTAAATAAAATCTTTTAAAAAATGAAGTATCTCATATTGATTACATGTTAAAATGATAACATTTTGAATACACCAGGTTAAATGAAACATGTTATTAAAATTAATTTCCCCTGTTTTATTTTGTTTTTTAAAGGAGTAGCCTTAAACTTTTCACTGTTGTACCAAATTTCAATACTTCAAGAGTCTTACCAACTTAAAAATTGGCATTCGCGTCACTCTCAACAGACCTGGGCATAGATGATCCCTGGAATTAAGTGACAGCTCAGTAAAGGTCCCTTAAGGGTGGTAACTGTTGCTTTGGCTGATAGGTCAGGCTCACATTTAATTAAGAGATGGAGTTATTGATCAGGCCCACAGAACCTCCTCCATTAAAATCTTCCTCATTTTACAAGACAGGAAGAACAGATCCATATTGCAATAAACATTTATCATTGCCAGTTACATACAGTTCAAGAGGGGAGGGTCAGATCTCCCTGGAGGTCGTACTTTGTCCCAGATCCTTTCCTCGATGCACATATGTGTGCACTCTCTCCAAGAGGTCCCTCTGACTTGGTTCATTTGTTGAGCTGTAATGCATTTAAAAACTATCATCACTATTTGTGATGTGTGTGCATGTGTGTGCGAAGCATCCTGAGAAAAATCCATGGCGTGATGGTGTGGCCCTCCATGGGAATTCTCTACAGCTTACTCTCACCTTCTTCTTTTGTTGATGCATTGTTTGAGTTTTTTTTTTTTTTTCTTTTTATAAGGTTCCCTTTCACATCCTGTAGAAGTCCCTCCCCCCCCCTTTTTTTTTAAAAGATTTTATTTATTTGACAGAGAGAGACACAGAGAGAGAGGGAACACAAGCAGGGGGAGTGGGAGAGGGAGAAGCAGGCCTCCTGCAGAGCAGGGAGCCCGATGTGGGGCTCAATCCCAGGACCCTGGGACCATGACCTGAGCCGAAGGCAGACACTTAACGACTGAGCCACCCAGGCGCCCCGAAGTCCCTCCCCTTTTGATCAATTTCTTGACGGAACACAGTCTTTTAGCATTCCTCAGTCCCACACCCATAGCCATAATTTCTAACTGTCCTCATGTGAGGCCTAAAAATAACATGCCTTTCAAAAGAGATACAGCCTTTCAAAATAAGCCTCAGAAGTTTCTTCCCCATCTTTGCCCCAGTCACCCTGAGGTTCCATGAAGTTGTATTCATTCAGAACCAACATGAGTCCTCTCTCACCTTGCTACAGTTTTCAATTCCTGTCCTCTTTTTAGAAAACCATCTGTTTCTCTGAAATAGTCCCATCCCTCAGGAGTCACAGGGGCATCTTCACAATGAGAATGAGAAAAAGACACTTTGTCTATTCCGCATCGACCTGGGGCTCCTAGCCAGTGCAGTATGGCAATGGAGTATATACACAGTGTGAAGATCATGAAGGAAGAGGAAAGCTTTCATTATCACGGATGAAATAATCCTTCATAAAAATCCAAAATAAATATATAATTAGACACGTTATCAGAATTAAGTAGGGATTTTAGCATAGTCATTGAACACAGGATAGTATATAAAATTAATTGTTTTTCTATATACCAGCAATGAATGATTGGAAAATGAAAATACCATTTATAATAGCATTGAAACCCACCAAATAATTAGGAATAAAACTAATGAAAGATATGCAATACCACTGGACTGAAAACTATTGACCAATACTGAAAGAAATTTCCATATCTAACTCAATGGAGAGATTCCCTCAAAAAGGGGAGTAGGGATAAGATAAGGCTCTTCTTTACAGATATAAAGTTAATGAATGTAGAAAAAATAATGGAATTGAGGCACCTGGGTGACTCAGTTGATTAAGCATCTGACTCTTGATTTCAGTTCGGGTCATGATCTTAGGGCTCTGTGCTGGGCATGGAGCCTGCTTAAGATTCTCTCTCTCCCTCTCACTCTCCCTGTGCCCCTCCCGCCCCTGCTCTCTCTCTCTACCTCTCTAATAAAAAGAAATGGAGTTAGAGCCAGTAATTTCCAGCCTCCATTATGGTAATTGATATAGGCAAGCATCAGCAGTGGTTGTTAAAATCAGTAGGTGAACTGTGGTTGGGGAACAGGATATTTGCATGGTGCCAAAGTATCAGCAGTGGGAGGATTCAATATTGTTAAGATGTTAATTACCTTCAAATTGATCTATAGATTCAGTACAACCTCGTCAAAATCTCAGCAGGTATTTTATTGAAAATTTAAAAGTTGATTCTAAAGTATTTACAGAGGGGCACCCAGCTGGCTCAGTTGGTAGAGCATGCAACTCTTGATCTCGGGGTCCTGAGTTCAACCCCACATTGGTTGCAGAGGCTATTTAAAAAAAATAGAATAAAGTATTTATGGAAATGCAGAGATCCAGAATTGCGAAGAATTCTTTGGAAGAAAAAAAAAGAACAAAGAAACCTAAAGGACTTGCCCACTAACTTCCAAAGTTCATTATAAAGCTATCATAATTAACACAGTATGTACTGGTGCGAGGACAGACAAATAGACAAATAGAATAGAAGAGAGAGTTCAGAAACAAAACTATCCTTATATAGTCACTTTATAATAAAGATACTACAGCAATTGAGGAGAAAAATATGGTCCTTGAAAGAAATGTTCTGGATCTCTGATCTATTCTTTACACTGTACACAAACATTAATTTCATATGGTTCATAGTCCTAAATTCTAAAGGTAAAACAATAAAAATTTTAGAAGAAAATAATTTCATGACCTTGGGGTAGAAAAAAATTTCTTAAATAATACATAAGAGTACTAACCATAGAAGAAAAGATTTATTAATGGAACGTCATTAAAATTAGGAACTTCTGTTTCTTAAAAAACCCTATTAAAGTGAAAAGGCATGATGAGGGATAGAAGCAGAAAAGTGTTCACCTTTAGTCCGGAAGGCTGATCTGTAGCCTGCATAGTTTCCGGAAGGATCAAATAGGGGCTGGTTGCTACATTCCTAAAGGGTCTCATGGCTGCCTGTACATCTCACCCATAGTTAATATCAAGCTGAATGATAAGCACCAGAAAAATCTTGAGAAAGTAATTTTACGAGTAGAAATTCAAAGGCATTTATGATCCAATATATAGCCACCAGCCTCACACAGCAGAAGTGCAGCTATTTCTGCCCACAGGTCCTGTCCCCGTGCTACTTAAATAAACTTACTCAGTTGCACCATAAAACATCTCAAGAATTCTTTCTTGACTGTCACACTTAATGGTCCTGCAATAGGCAAGCCATTTACTTGGATCATGATATCCAACCAAAGGCTTATATTCAGAATACATAAAGAACAAGTTGATAAGGAAAAGACACACACCTCCATATAAAAAATGGGCAAAAACTTCAGCTCTTCACAGAACAGGTATCCAAATGGCCCATAAACATGAAAAGAGACTCAGCTTCATGACTTTTTAGAGAAATGCATCATAACAAGCTACAACTACACACCCACCACAATAACTAAAACTAAAAAAACAAAAAACAACAACAAAAACCCAAAACCAAAAACCTGAGCATTTCAATTGTTGATGAAGATGTAGAGCAACAAGAACATTCATATTTCCCCAAACCGGAAATAATACAAATGTCCATCATCAGGAAAAAGGATAATTGTGTATATTCATCGTATGGAATACTACATAGTGAGGAAAAAACAAAGAGGGACTACACACAAGTTGGCTGAATCTCACAAACACTACGTTGAATGAAACAAGCCAAACAAAAAAGAACACGCAGTAAGATTCCATTTATATGAGGGTCAAGAACAGATGAAATTAATAAAAGCTTATAGCAGTCCGAACAATGGTACTGCTTGCAAGAGTGGGAGCATTGACTAGGAAAAGAACAATGGAATTTTACAGAGTGCTGAAGATGTTTTATATCTTGATCTAGATGGTGGTTACATGACATTTACACGTGGAATAATTTAATAAGCTTAAGATTAGGGCATTTTACTGTATTATTTGTACCTGTGATACAAAATAGTTTTTTTAAAAAGCAATAAAAATCTACATAGTGGAGTTGGTGCCTACTAAAGGAAATTTTTGCAAATGTAGAAACGTTTTAAAGATTGCCTTCATTTTGCTGTAGTTCTCCAGAAACACAATTTTCCTCAGTCAGAACAAGCTCTTTCATTTTGAAAACAATCTTGAGCCTCACGGCCATCTAATTGGGGTGTTTCCCGAAGAGAAGGAGATTGGAGATTGTTTACACAAACAGCTTCTGTCTTAAACATCCTGTTTTATTGTGGCCTCAAAGCTATGTCGAATACCACCCGTAGCTTTCTGGCATTTTCCCTTTACTTCTTGCTAGCAGAACCTCAATTTCATTTACTGTCTACTAGTTCTCAGCCTGACTTCGGGGAAGAGGATTCCATTACTGGCTCCAAGGTACATCCTGATCCTGCGAATTATGACAATTTCCATTCCCTTGGCGGGGTCCCGTGTAGGGGTGAGCACGTGACCCAGTTCGGGTCCATCATGTGCAAGGAGAGATCTGCTCGTGGTGTGTGTGTGTGTGTGTGTGTGTGTGTGTGTGTGTGTGTGTTGGAGAGGTGCTTCTGGGAAAGATTTCTTGTTTCTAAGAGGAGACTCCAGAAGGGAGGAAGTCCATTTCTGCCTCTGGATGCTGTTTCTGGGAGTGAGTGCGGCTTGGAGCTGTTACTAGCAAACTTGGTGAGAAGCAGTCCCGAAAGAAAGCTGATGTGGATGATGTCGATGAAAAGTCTCTGGGCCCTTTATGACCTTAAAGTTTGTGTCATGCCTCCTGTTCTACCTCCAGACTTCTGCTAAAGTGACTGAGGGTCTTTTGTCACTTGCAGCCAAAGATGCCCTAGCAGACTCTGAGACCTCTCTGCCCTTCAAGATGAGTCACTCTAGATGTTTGTCACTAGATTCCAGCCAAACTAGCCATTTGAAGTGCCTAGAACTTATTTTTATTCTCTCTTTCACCTCAGGACCTTTGCCTGTGCTTTGGCCTTTGCTTGGAATATTCTCCACCCTCCCCTTTACTACTCAGCACCTACTCATCCTTCAGATATCAGCTCAAACATCATCTCCTCAGAGAAAGATCCCTGATTCCTCAGACTAGGTCAGGCTCCCTGTTCTCCTCTTTCCTCCCACCCTGTATAGTCCTTCATAACCCCTATCACTGGTCTAAATTTTGAGACCGGAGATTTCATTTCAAAAACATATGAGCCTTGTTCAGGCTGTAGTTGTGCATATAAAAGACTGTGTCCTATGGGTGAGCCATGAGGCATCCAGCAACATACTCTTTTCATAGTCGACCTGTTTCCTCACCCTAAAATTGTTCCAAGTATTACTCAAGGGCTGGAATAAGTTCGGTCAGAGGCCTCACAGACACCAAGCCAATTACCTCGAGTGCACTTGAAACCATCACAGGAATCACGATGCGGTGAAGTGTGTGTTTTGACCGTGGGCCAACATGACTTCTTTATGGCCTTGGGTCCTTGTGTCAAGATTCCCCAGACTTGTGCATCTTCCTGGCACCTCACGCCAGACCTCTGCCAAAAGGACGGCTGAGGCACCACTTGGTGGGATTAGCAACCTGAGCATCGTTTGCTGGCCAATGGATGGAACTGGCACTTTGACAAAGCCTTGAGGCTGGACCCCAGGAGGGGCTCATCTATACAGCTAGGAGGACAGCTCTGCGAGTCCCCCAAAACAGGCAGTACAGCATTTTTCTATCTTTTCAGCTTGCTACGTGACTTCCTCCATTCTGTAACTGTCACCTCTGTTCTACTTCAGCTACCTCCTCTCAGGCCACAGCTCTATTTTCTTCTGAAATTGTCCCTCTCTATTATCTCAAGCTGCATATCCTTCCTAATTAAACACAGACTTCTGCCCTGCCCATACTCTTGCTCTCTTCCTCACTCAAAACACTTGGAGGCCTCCCAGGGAACTGGTCTGCCTTCCCCCTCATCTGGCAGCTCCCCTCGGACAGTACAGACTTCTCCTTCCCCTCTGTTCCTGCAGGTATGTGGATCATTATGTGGACTGCTGATGTCTGACTTGTTGATTGAAAGACTCATTTGCTGATTGAAAAGAATATAAAAATACATATAAATCCACACATGTAGATGGTGGTGATGGTTGCAGGATGATGTGAATGTACATGATACCACGCAACTGTACACTTAAAAATGGTTAAGAGAGTAAATTTTATGTTATGTGTATTTTGCAACAATAAAAAAAATTGAAAAAAAAAAGAATCACATGTTACAGAAGTACATAATAGACGGGAAGGGAGAACATGTTTACAAATTATGTTTGTTTTTAAGATGCTTTTGACGACAAGTAAATAAAACCAAATGTCGGATGGCCTTAAAAAATAAATAAAAATAAAAACTGCATCAAAAATGTAAATGCACATTCAGTTCTTTCTTAAAATGGTCACACCAGTTTCGTGGGCAGTTTCGCACCATGGCTTCTGGGTGGCTGTGTTGTCCTCCCCATGGAACAGAATACAGAGGCTCGGAGGGCTGGATTCGGAAGCCCAAGGGGCCCTGGTGAGTCCACCCGCTGAGCAGGAATTTCATTCTGTGAGCAGATGAAGATGAAAAAGGAACCTGTGAGGAAACCTGCTCTCCAGGTCAGCCAGCCTTCAGCCTTCAGAGTGTGGGGAGAGGCTGCGGGTCAGGAGCAATGTCAGAGTATGTATTCTAGGCTTGTCCTTGGAGAACAAGACTGTATGAGCGAATTATATTCATTCCTTGTTGGTGCCCAAAGTCAGTGGTTCAGTCCTTTTTAGAAGAAAGGAAATGTTGCTGTGTTTACAAATGCAGAAAGTGTTCTTGCTTCTGGAATCCCAGAGGCTATTATTAAAATGATAAATTCCCAGCCTGGTAAAGTAAAATGACATTCTGGGTCAGGATAAGGGATGTCTTTTCTGAATAATGCATTACACAAACTTGTTTACTTCCGACTCTGGGACCAAGACTGTCTTTTTCTTCCTGGGTTTAAGTGTTGTCTGTTCTCTGGGGAAGTCTTTGCCCTACAACCGGGAAGATACTTTTAGTTCGATACTTTCTTGGGTCCTGTGGTTCCCTTGAGCAATTGGCCTTTGTACCAAGAACTCCCCAGGAGCCCGAACAGGCAAGGGGACAAGGAGGCCCAAGGTCAGTCTCCGCCCTGCACGCGACCGGGCCTTAACGCGGCTCTCTGCCCCTCTCAGGGCTTGCTTGCTATGCTGCAGAATGGGAGCGATGATCCTTACTGGGCCTGCCTCATGGGCTGTTCGCCCGGTGGGGGGGGGAGGGGGGGATGGCGAGTGTGGAATGCAGACGAAAGGTACTGCAGTATTCCTACAACACCAGCTCACTGCCCAGGGGATGATATGAATACCTAGGAGCTGCTTTGTATGGACCCAAGATACAGTGTTCTCAGCTCCTTTTGGGCTTTAGATAAATGGCTCCAGGCCCCCTTCTGCTGCCATCGGGCCCAATTAAACCCCTGCAAGGGGTTGTCCTGCAAGGACAACCATGGTAGGCCACGACTGTGTGACAGACGCTGGGGGGATACACATGGTTCCTGCACTCAAAGAGCATAGAGTTCCGCTGAGGAACGAAGATACACGTATATGAAAAGTTCACCTCAGGTGGAACCTGGTTAATGTCTGCCTGGTGTATTCGTTTGCTAGGGCTGCTGTGACTAAGTACCACAGACTGGGGGATTTAAACAGGAGAAAGTTACTTTCTCACAACTCATTTTGTGACCTCGTTTTAACTGAATCACGTCTTTAAAGACCCTGCCTCCAAATACAGTCACGTTCTGTAGTACTGGAGGTGGGACCTCAACATAAAAATTCTGGGGGGAGGGGGGCTTACAGGATTCATCTTATAACTCCTGGCTTCTAAATGGTATAGAATCTATAACGAAATGGTCTAATCGCATCTCTTGTTTGGATGTCTAACAGGCATCTGCACCTAATTTATCCAAAACTGAGCCTCGGCCCCTCTGCCCCACCTCCCGATTTCTGCTCATCCGTCTCACTTCCCTGTAAATGGTACCACTCACCCCCAGTCACTGTCCTCTTGGTGGAACTGATTACACCTGAAATTGTGTTTTTATTTTCTTATGTGCTTTTTGCCTGAATCCCTGAACTGGAATGTCTGATGTATAGTAGGGCCCTCAACACATGCTTGCTTGAATGAATTGCCAGAATAGTTATGTAGCTACTACCTGCACAGAGAGGAGGTTTCTGTAGGCTAGGGAAGTAACGGTAGGGTCTGGGCAGGGGTGTGCTGGGTGGAGCTGGCTTAAGCCAGCCCACAGCAGACAGTTGTCTAATTTTCAGTTGTTAAATGCAGCCATTATTAAAAATTAAGTTGAAGAAAGTTACAGCTCAACTATACTGAAAATCAAGGTAATAAATACAGGACTCATCATTTCACTTTCTTTTACTATTATCTATGCTCTTGAGGTTGCCTAATTTTATTGTATCTGATGATAGGAATAATTTATAGCTATGTGCTACTACCTGTCTCTTCCTACTCTTCATTTGGTGATGTCACACTGATAGACTGAAATTGGCCATAGTGGGAATATTTACTCTATGGAAATCAGTAAAGGTCACAAATCAGTTTGCCTGCTTGCTTGTGTGTGTGTGTGTGTTCCTGGGAAGCTGGTTGTGAAATATTTACCATCACACTACAGCTTCCTTGTGATAGGTGTCTCTGAAAGATAGTGAAGATCCACATACACAGGATATACAGGGATTCGAGGGGGACGCTACGTAGTAGCTCGAGCGTAAGCAAAGATCCTACAGAAGCAATGGTATTCATGTTTGGAGCGTGTGTGTGTGTGTGTATGTTGGTAGGAATTGAGGGAAGATGAGGAATGGAACCACCCCGGCAGGGCCTACAATACTAGACTCAGGGGTCTGGATTTGGATTCTATAAGCAATGAAACACCACCAAGAAATTTTTGGTAGGCATGTGATGTGATAAAGCAAATAGTAAATGTGGAGGGAATAGCCAAAAAATGGAGTGAAAGGGGGTACTTTTAGTAAAGAAAACACTATTCATAGCTCCTTCTGTGCTTTATCAAGTCTGTAAAGAATCTACACAATCATTCAGAAAGTGTGAGCTGGAGGTGCTCACCAGGGAGGAGAATTATTCTTTCAGCTAAAACTTGTCCAGATCTTTGTGAACGGAATGAAGTCAAACTAAGGCTGCATTTCAGCTATAGATTGAGACCTCTTTCTCCATGAATAGAGGAAACTCATGGAAAACCAGAGCCAAAAGGTGGAGCGATCAGTTTGATAAAAAGTTCAACATGATTAACTGTATCCACAAGGGAAAAGTCACCATGACTTCTACTGCCAATAAGCCTGCTAATATACCCCCTACACTGACCTGAAGAGGTGAGCAATTGTAGTTTTCATTATGTTTACTGGGGGCAGGGAGGTGTGTGTGTTTCTTTCCACAGTTGAAGCTCATTAGCAGCAACTGGAAGTAATTGGAGGGCTAATTAAAACAGAGTAATGAGGTAACCAAACACAAATGGTATGGTCCTCATTGTTATCCATTCAATGGTGCTCTTCGTGTCTCATCTGTGATCAGGGAAGAGCATGTACTCTAAATACAAAGGGGTTCTTTTTTTTTTTTTTTTAAAGATTTTATTTATTTATTTGAAAGAGAGAGAGCGAGAGCACCTGAGGCGGGGGGAGGGTCAGAGGGAGAAGCAGACTCCCTGCTGAGCAGGGAGCCCGATGCGGGACTCGATCCCGGGACTCCAGGATCATGACCTGAGCCAAAGGCAGTCGCTTAACCAACTGAGCCACCCAGGCGCCCTAAATACAAAGGGGTTCTACCATTTTTATTATAAAAACATCACAATTATGCACCCAGAAAGAAAATGTTGAAAGAAGAAGGTAAACTTGCTGCTTCTTCATTTCCATAAAGTGAATAAATCCAACAATGGGAGTGGTATTTGGGCCCTAATGGCCAATTTTCCCTTTTTGATATGAAGACAGGTGTATATGGAAAAATAACAAACAAGTTAAATGGGAATGGGAGAACACAAAGACCTTGAAAATGACATGAGTGTATTTGTGAAAGGATAAAGGAAACATAAAGCTTTAATAAGCAACATGAAAGCCTCTGTCCAGAAGGACATGTCCAGTCTCAGAATAAAGAGAAAACTAAGAAACTTTTCTTCATTATTTTTCACTTGAGCCCATTTGGTAATATCGATATTGTCTGGTAAAAAGTGATTATATTGCAAATATTGCTTTTCTGAAAATGATGAGAGTAGCAGAGAAAATTACCCCACCAGTTCGAATTTCAAAATAAGTGTTCCCATATACACTTCTATAAAAACGTACCTGACAATTTGATGGTGGTGATGAACAGGATGTCCCTACTGAAATTTCCAAGGAAATGTATAGAAAATAACCTAAATACAGAAACCCACCTGTTGTAAGACTCCTTCAAAACCAGGGAACACATTACAAATAGGGAACTCTGAGTGATGGAAATACCAACTAATAATCTCACATGAATTTAGCAGAATATGCCCAATAATTAATCTAACCACAGGGTGTTTTGAGTCTCGAACATTTTAAGAACTGCATATATTGTCTTGACAAGCAGAGAAATCCCTGGTGAATGGTTAGTTTGATCTACCTAACCTAGTTCAGATGATCTGATAGATTAGAAAGATCGTCATATGCTCTCCACTCTCAGTCTCTCAGCCACAGGCAGACATTGTGCCTCATCACACTCCCTACCTCTTGTTCGGCCCCCACTGTCTTCCCCTTGGCTGTCAGTAAAAGCTTTGTCACATCTCAGTCTGGTCATCATGACACAACTCTTTGGTTCCTTCCCATTCTTTGTCAATGGTCAGCCAGTAGGCACACAAGGCTCTCTCTTGCTTGGCCCCTCTCTCAGATTATCTTCTGATGTCTGCCCTCCTGTATCTTTGGCCCAGCCAGAGCTAAACGACAGCAAGGTGCAGTTTTTGAAAGAACTTTGTTCTTTCATGCTTTTGCATACCTAATACTCTGTTCAGAAATGTTTCTCCCTTGCTTTGTCCCCTGTAAACTCCTACTTGTGCTGTAAGACTCAGGTCAAGTAATATCTTTTTAAGCTTTTCCTTGTTTTACCCTCTCTCTGGTCTGAATCCTCAAACCCCTAATTCTCTCCTTGTTTTGTCTGTCTTTACCCCAAGACTATCAGAGACTTGAGATCTTTGAACATTCAACAAATATTTATTGAGTGCCTACCATCAGCCAGGAATTACTCTAGGTGCTGAGGATACAGTCGTGAACAAATAAATCCCTGTCCTCATGGAGTCTCCATTTTAGCTGGGAGAGGCAGGTTAAAACAAACAAACAAACAAACAAACAAACAAGCAAGCAAACAACTGTATAATGTTTCCTAACATTAGTGAAAAAGATCTGGGAATTTTAGATTCTGAAAAGAGGCAAGATAAAACTTTCAAAATTTGCAACCTGAATTAATCCGAGGACACCTTTTCTCATGACCTTATTTTCATTGCAAGGAAACTGAAGGCAAAGAGATGTGTATGGAATGGTTCAAGGAAAGTCACATGGTTTATTGGGAGCAGAGCTGGATCCTCAACCCCATTCCTGACTCCTGGTTGAGTGTTGTCTCAATTCTTCTAAAACATGACAACTCTCAGGCAATTCATTTATGGTATAGCCTTGACTGTGATCAGGATCTTTTTTTTTTTTTCCAGAAAAATTGACAAATAACATTGTGTGTGTTTAAGACATACAACATGTTGATTTGGTACTTATG